AGAGAATAATAGGTCTATATAAATGAAAGATCCATTTATCGTCAGAAAAGTTATTTTCGGTCGAGTGACGAACAATATTTTGTGTTAGTCAGTGAGCGGCAAAATAGCATATTTCCAATTGGAACGCTTGATGACTTTCCTACTGAGTTTCTAACATGTTACATGAAAATGAATTTTGTTTCAATATTTATAATACATTCAACAGGCGACACACCAGGTGATTACACAGATCTGAAACTCAACAATCCCGACATCAGTGTAGAGGATGGTACTCTTTCCATTAACAACATTCAAAAAACCAATGAAGGATACTATCTCTGTGAGGCCGTTAACGGAATTGGATCAGGACTCTCTGCCGTTATTCTCATTTCTGTCCAAGGTACTCTATCCGCATAAGCAGTAATCTGATTTGTTTTTATCAGTCATTTTGACATGTGCTACTATTTTTTTTTCTAGCCCCACCTCACTTCGAAATTAAACTCCGAAATCAGACTGCCCGTAGAGGAGAGCCTGCAGTACTCCAATGTGAAGCGCAAGGCGAAAAACCAATTGGAATCCTGTGGAACATGAACAACAAGAGGCTGGACCCGAAAAGTGACTCTCGATATACAATTCGTGAAGAAATTCTTACTAATGGAGTTTTGGCTGATTTGAGTATCAAACGTACTGAGAGGAGTGACTCTGCGTTGTTTAGCTGCGTCGCGACAAATGCGTTTGGCAGTGATGATACCAGCATCAATATGATCGTTCAAGAAGTTCCTGAGGTTCCCTATGGTCTTAAAGTTTTGGATAAGTCTGGGAGATCTGTGCAGTTGTCGTGGGCAGCACCTTACCACGGAAACAGTCCCATCAAACGTTACATCATTGAGTATAAAATGAGTAAAGGAACTTGGGAGGCCGATGTTGATCGCGTTCTCGTACCTAGCTCTCAGCAGAATGTTGCCAGTGTATTCAATTTGAGACCTGCCACTACTTATCATCTCCGAATTATTGCTGAAAATGAAATTGGCACTTCTGATCCATCTGATACCGTCACTATCATCACAGCAGAGGAAGCCCCTTCTGGACCCCCAAGCGCTGTGAGAGTAGAAGCTCTAGATCAACACACTCTTAAGGTATTTCTTTGAATAATTGTCAGAGATAGGCGATGATGTACGATTTTGGTGACGATTTCTCATTTGAAATAATAATTCTCTTACTAGGTAACCTGGAAACCTCCATCACGTGAAGACTGGAATGGCGAAATCTTAGGCTACTACGTTGGATACCGTCTATCATCATCATCGGAAAAACCTTACATGTTCGAAACAGTAGAATTCTCCAAGGAAGATGGAAAAGAACATCATCTTCAGATAATGAATCTAAAAACCTATACTCAGTACAGTGTGGTAGTTCAAGCATTCAACAAAGTGGGCTCTGGCCCTATGACTGAGGAGCGTCGTGCACACACGGCTGAAGGTGTTCCTGAACAACCCCCTCATGATACAACCTGCACCACCCTGACATCTCAAACAATCAGAGTATCGTGGGTCTCTCCACCGCTCAGTGCAGCTAATGGCGTCATTACCGGATATAAAGTGATTTACGGGCCCTCAGATACTTGGTATGATGAGAATACTCAGGATACGAAGATTACTTCTTCAAGTGAAACCATCCTCCACGGATTGAAAAAGTATACCAACTACTCGATGCAAGTGCTGGCCTTTACCTCCGGAGGAGACGGCGTTAAATCTGCACCCATTCATTGTCAGACTGAACAGGACGCTCCCGAAGCACCGATTGCAGTGAAAGCCCTCGTAATGTCTCCAGAATCTGTTCTTGTATCTTGGAGACCTCCAAGCCAACCAAACGGAGTCATTTCCCAATACACTATCTACACAAAGTCCGATAATGCTGAGGAAGCTGCCAATCAGAAAGTACCACCTAATCAATTGACCTACGAGGCCACTGGACTCGATAAACAGAGGAGATATGACTTCTGGGTAACCGCTAGCACTAACATTGGAGAAGGAGAGGCTTCCAAAATTGTTTCTTTAGCTCCAAACACCAGAGTTCCAGCTAAGATCGCTTCATTCGATGATAAATTCACTGCTACATATAAAGAAGATGTTAAACTTCCCTGTTTAGCTGTGGGCGTTCCAGCTCCTGAAGTTACCTGGAAAGTTCGTGATGCTAAGCTTCAGCCGAGCGATAGATTGAGACAGCTGCCAGAGGGATCATTATTCATCAAAGAAGTAGATAGAGCAGACGCTGGAGAATATTCTTGTTACGTTGAAAATTCGTTTGGACATGACACGGTCACTCATCAGTTGATTGTCCAGGCCCCACCGCATTCTCCTCAAGTAACTTTTACGAGTACGACGACAAACTCATTAACAATGAAACTGCGACCTCACCCTAATGATAATACACCCATTCATGGTTACACGATTCATTATAAACCGGAATTTGGAGAATGGGATACGGTGCAGATCAGCTCTAGTGTGCAGAAGTATACACTTGAGAATTTATTCTGTGGGTCCAGATATCAAATTTATGTTACTGCTTATAATGGAATCGGAACTGGTGATAGGTCTGATATATTGAATACTAGAACCAAAGGGTCAAAACCAATTATTCCGGAAGCTTCTCGCTTCATCGAAGTTTCTACGAACAGCATCACACTACACCTAAATGCTTGGTCTGATGGAGGATGTCCTATGCTGTATTTTGTGGTGGAATACAAGAAGAAGTACACTTATTTTTTTTAAGTCACTTATGCGAAATCTTAAATTTTCGAGCTTTTATTACGGTCCTTTTAAAATCTAAAAGCTCTGACAAACCGTTCATATTCAGCTTTAATCACTCTGAATCTTCCGATCATTTCTTTTTCCATACGTGTAATTACAAGACGCTAAAGTGTGAAAATTCATTAAAAGCACGCCTTCATTTTTTTTTCATTTCCCCGCAGCATTCTTTGTCAGCTACAGAATATATTCCGAGCTGCAATTCTCAAAAATTTTCTATAATAATATTGCCATGAGAAAAACGTGACACTTGAGGTGAATCGTGATAAACGGTATCTTGGTATTTGCCATCGAATAATTCATTTAAACACTAATAATTTAATTATGACGCCTTAGCCACTATACCTAATGACAATTTGCCTAAGAATCATTTAATTACACTCGCAATTCGCTCACTACTCTGCTCGCATCAATATCAGCCAGAATGTATACACTCCATGCCACGAATGTACGATGAAATAACAAGAACACATAAATACAGCAACACTAACGATTACAAGGAGAAAATGAAACTATTGTTGCTCAGACAAGAATAATTAAAACATGAAACTTACAACATGTGATCGAAAAGTTCACTGCAAAAAAATACTGACTTTCTTTTCCTAACCGGTGGTTTTGCATTCAGTTGTTGAGTTCTTGTTAATACTGACGCCATCTGAATATAAGGCGAATCGTGAGTTTGGCAAAGTGATCTTAGGTAAATTGATATCTAGGTGACATGATTTTGATCTAACCGAACAATTAGGTGAATTGCCATTCGGTCAAGTGGAATTTGGCGAATCGTACCCAATCCTTAATATATGAATTGCTTAAGTTATAAAGGTTTAATCTTTATATTTTCGCATAGATCTCATGCAGAATGGATACAAGTGTCGAATAATGTAAAACCAGGCGGCAACTTCGTAGTCCTTGACCTCGACCCAGCAAACTGGTATCAACTTCGTGTGACAGCGCACAATAATGCCGGATTTGCGGTAGCAGAATATGAATTTGCAACATTAACTGTAACTGGAGGTGAGTTTGATTTTGCGTAATAGGCCCTTAGACCGCGAATCAGCGGCGAAAGGGATTCTACGCACGGTGCTAATGGTGGCTGGGCTAGTGATTAAAAGAGTGATGAGGTCAATCAGTATCCAAGTGGTGAAACGTTATAATTCGAGTATCACAACTGTGTTCATTATGTAATTATCTCAGATATGAGTGTATCCAGGAGAGAATGTTGGAAAGATTTATTTGTAGATAAGCATTTTTTCATGGAAAAAGATCTGGATGCTTTTTTTCAAGCGTCACTCATTCTCGAGATATTTTCATACATACAGAAAACACTATACTTAAAATACAACATTTAGAACGCTATTTACGGGATTTCTGATCTCGTACATTACGAGTTCGAAAATGTAAATTACGGACTAAAACCACGTCAATTACGCCCTGAAATACCGTAAATTCCGATTTTTATGTAGTAAATTACGCGGTTGATCCGGTAGATTACGATTCCGAATTCGTAAATTACGGGGACCCATATCGTGAATTACAAGTTTCAACCTCATGAATTACGGGGTGCGACGGAGTACTTTACGCTCTTTTCCTCGTCATTTACATCTTAATCACGTAAACACTGTGATTGGGACCGTAAATGGAAGGATAAATATGAGAAAAGCTTTTTTGGGCAA